TAAAGCACCCAGACTAACATCCTGCTTGCAAAACTGCCGGACACGACAGGGGAAAAAAAAAAAATCGACAAAGGCTGCAAAGAACCTTTGCCGATATTCGTTCTTGTGCTCGATGAGAACTCTCAGTGCAAGCATACAGTCGATGGTAGACTTCTTAAGCGTAAAACCAGAGTGCGCCGGTCGCTGACAGGCAAGCAAATGATCATGGACTCTATTAAGCATGACCCTAGCAAGGACCTTACCTGGCACTGAAAGCAGTTTTATCCCCCTGTAGTTGCCACAATCCAGGCAATCACCCTTCCCTTTCCCAATAGGGACTACAAGTCCCGTTTTCCAGTCAATTGGGATGACGCCTTACAAGCAAATATTGCCTGCAATGCCAGGAGGAGAGCCTTACTACTAGCCTGGAGAAGTTCACCCTGTATACCACATATCCCTGCTGATTCACCACCTGTGCAATCTCAGTGAGATTGGGTGGTTCACTGCTGATCGGACGATCAGCTTCGAGAACCATGCTCCAAGAGATGTCCAACAAGCTAGCTGGAGGGTCAGCTTTAAACAACTGCTCAAAGTCACCGGCCCAACGGGTCACAATTGCAGTGTCATCCGTAAGGACCGTTCCATCACCTGCCCTGACTGCAAGTCTCTGTGGAATAGATTCAGATGTGCATAATCCTTCGATTCCTCTGTAAGCAGGACATGGGTCACTAGACCACAGATGGTATGTCACCTGCTCACAGATTCATCTAACAAATGCCTCCTTATCTGCCCTCAGAGCCCTCATAGCCGTCCTTCTCAATTCTCGGTACAGACTGGAGTTGCCACCAAGCACCAAGTCGTGCACTGCGACTCCTCTTGATAATATCCAAGGTGCCCTTCAAGATGAAACACCTCCTTCTGGGAACATTGGCAACACCAACACAACCCTCACCAACCTTCAGGGTCTTATTACAGAAGTGTGCGGCAGCAGGCTCGGGCATCGCAGCAGCAGCTGGCTCTGTAGAACCTTGGTTTAGGTACCCCCGGTGACTCTGCCAGATCCACAAGGTGCCAAAACACCCTTTCTACTCCACGCACCTCCTCCACCGGAGATGCAGGAGAGAGCTGGAGGAGTTGTAGGCCAGCTTCAGTCAGAGCCTGGCACAACCAGGGAGACTGGAGGATGGGGTTTTGGATAGCTGTTTCCATATGGCCTGTTTAGTCCCCGATTGGGTCATTCTATAAGTGAATCCGGGCGGGTTTGGCACGAGGACGTGGCATGGTGCAGGCAGGAAGATGGACGACCCACTGGCAGCTCACAGGATGAACGGGGTTTATAAACAGAAAACACTAGGAACACTACAAAAACAAAATGGACCACGAGGGGTCAAAAGTAAAAGGGGAAAATCAAAGACTAACTACAAATGCGGCAGGGAAAACAAGGGGCAGGTAGGCAGGTTACAAATCACACAACAGTCAACATCCTTCACATACATCATCAACTACATCAATGACCCACTAGGGAACTAAACTAAGACAGGAACTTAAATACAGAAACTAAAATGGATAATGACACAGCAGGAGTGACACAGACAATTAACCAATCTAGGAGGGTACAGGGCAATGAGCAATCAGATAAACACACAAGGGCAGGCACAAGAACAGGCATAATTAACTTTAATTTAATTAAATTTAATAAAAATTAAATTAAATAATTCAGAAACTAAACAGGGACACTAGAACTGAAAGAAACAAGGAAAACAGAATCTATCTGTGGGGAAATAAGAAAGAGAAGTAAAACACAACCAAGGCACTAAGCAAGAAACCAATAACAGAAAATAAACCACAAAATCACAGGAACTAGAAAACTGATTAAACCAATGAAACAAAATACAAAAATAGAGGAAGTAGGATTCGAGCACACAACAGAGGGGTTAACAAGTAGCCGCATGCTGAGCTCGTTGAGCCATGTAGCCAACAGGGAGTAGGGTAAACATTGCAGACTGACAACAGGGAGGACAGCATGGCCAGCAATACCTGCTGGCCAAACAGGGAAAAGACACAAGACTGGGACAAACAAATGCTCCTTCTCCTGTGGCAGACTTCTATGACCATCCTGGTATAAAGGTAAATGACCATACCGGCAAGACAGGACCCTATGCACACAGCCCTTCACACCCATATGTGATGTGTGACACACCAGATCAGAAGCTACTCATCAGCAAACCTGGAATTTATTATTTCATAGCCCAGAATGGGAAGATATTATGAAGACATTTCTCTGGCATTTCATTAGCAGACTCATAATTTTTTTTGAACAAGAGTAATTCACAAAGCCCCTCAGTGCTAAAAGTAGCAGCTTTTGTATAGAAGGTGACCCGCATCCTGGTAGCACTGCCTTTCATGCTCCTACTGAAGGCCAGGAGCCTGAAGATGTGCCAACCCGGGTGTGTGGGGTTGGTGGAGATGGTGGTTGCTCTGCTGAGACACCTACTGCTGTTCACGCTCTCCATTGTGGGTGGTGGAACACCGTCATTTCTCTGAGCACTGGTGATGACATACTGTAGTACTTTCCTACTCAGTGCAGCCTTAGTAGAATATGGAAAGCAGGCTGGAGTTAAGGCTTGCTTTTTCTATTATTCTTACGAAGAACGGTCATTGCCGTGCCTTCTTGGTCAAGTAAGCGATGTTGACTGTCCATGACAGATCCTGTGAGATTGTCACACCCAGAAATTTGAAGTTATATACCTTCTCTACCGTTATTCCGACGATGTGTAATGAAGCACGTGCTGCATCACTACCTTCCTGAAATCAATGATGAGCTTTTTGTCGAGCTGTTCTCTGGTCAGCTGCTGCACCTTCTCTCTGTCTCGCTGTTGTCTCTGTCTCGCTGTGGTGTAGTCTGCATGTTTAATGATTGAGTTGAAATTGAAAGCAGGAACACAGTCATGGGTGAAAAGAGAGTACAGGAGGGGACTAATGTGCATACGCTGCTGTGTGAGATACTGATGCTGAGTGTCAGGGTGGAGGACCATTGTGTGTCAAGCCTAACGGACTGAGCACGATTGGTCAGGAAGTCCAAAATCCATTTGCAGAACTGAATGGTGAAGAGCTAGCCTCTGAAGTTTGCAGACTCTAATGAATGCTTAGTACTGCTTATGTATTGACCAGCTTTTTATGTATTGATCTGAAAGAAGTGTTTGCCTTTGACCGAAGATATAATTTTGAGTAAATTGATTTTGCAAGACAAGTCAAAGGTTTTGTGAATGTAATAAAAATTGGGTTTTGTGTTTACCATTTTGCAAAAAGGTAAGGTTTCAGGACATGTGCTTCAGTAATTCAGAAAAACTGCAACACTGCAGATAAGCATATTTGAGACATGTTTTTGACAGAACATTCTGAGTAGTAATTTTAGCAGTGTGAATAGGTTTTGGCTTTGTGTTCTTTCTGAACCCACTGCTAAGTGTACACTTTTATGGATGTAGCATATGTGAAACAGCAATCACATCATTATTGTTTAAGGCCAAACCACTGCTAATTAGTGAGGAACTGGTAAAAAAAAAAGAAAGAAAAAGATCAGAAGTTAGTTTTACTTTATTTAAGTACCTCATTATAAGAGAAGTGCCTCTTCACACTTGCTGAAATGTGTATTTTACATACAAATAATTTCTGCGGAATGCTCTTACATTATTTACGGAAGCATCTGCTGGGGCTGGCCCTCGCATTCACTCCACGGGGGAGGGGCTGCCAGTACAGGACACAGTTCTACTTTTGAAGATGAGGCCACGTTCCTCAGGGCAGGGGAGCCCAGTGAGACCACCCTCCAAGTGAGGGACAGGCTCAGCCCTCTGAGAAGGAGAGCATCTCACTGCTGTTGGTGCCATTGTTCATGGAGCTTGTGTGCTTGTTTCTGACAAGCTGTGTGGAGAAAGAGAGCAGGCAGACACACAGGCTGTTATTAGACAGGACAGTAACACACACACAGATGCACACACACATAGACACACACAGACAAACACACACAGACACACATACACAGACACACACACACACACTCACATACACACGCAGACACAAAGAGAAAGAGACACACACACACAGATACACACACACAGAATGGGACGGCAGTATGAAGATATTTCTCTGGTATTTCATTAGGAGACCCCAAAGTTTTTGGAATAAGAGTAATTCACGAAGCCCCCTAGTGCTAAATGTAGCACCCAAGTCTGGGAGAACTAAAAAGTAGAGGAGAGGACTCCTGAGTCACTAAGACCAGTTCACAAACAGTCACAAAATGGCTGCTGTCAATCCACATTGCAATGTCTTGAAAAAATTACACGAACGCTGAATTGTTTAAAGGGTACAGCCTCAGTCGGGAGCGAATAATGATTGTTGTGAGGGATGCAATCGCATCTCCAATAAACCGAAACAACCCAGTCATAATATATACAGTGGAAACCACTTATAGTGATCATTATAACTGATTTTTTTATTTTTTTTTATTTTCTTTATGTCTCAGGCAGATTACCATCTAACTGATATTTGTATATTTATTACATGAATATAAGGCAATAAAACGGACAGCGTCGCTATGTACTAAATTTGATCAATTCATTCAAAATACGGTGCAACTGTTTCAAACACTTCAAATGATTGAACTGTGTATAACTGAAATATGGCATAATACAGTATTGTACATGAAATATACCTTATTGTAGTTTCGCTGCTGCAGCTCGTGCATGAGATCTGATGTCAGCCACAGCGACAGAGTCTAACTCTGTTAGAGTCTGTTTTCCTAACTAAATTTAAGTTGCATTCAGCCACTTTGTGAATCGGTTTTAGGAAAAAACATTTAATTAAAAACTTTTAGTGTGATTTAGGAGTAGTGGTAAGATAAAAAAAAAATTAACTTTAAAAGTTCACTAAAATGTGGTCATATACTTATTTCAAGAAGCTTCAGCAGGGGGTTTCTGATGTTTTTAATTATTTTAAAAAAAGATAAAAATGTACACAGACAAAATTGACTTGACTTGAAACACATGAGACACATGGTGGCTTCGGTGTTCTGCTATTTGGATTAATTCAGCTTTTCAGATCACTTTAATTTGACTCTCTCACTTGCGACTTTCAGTTTCTGTGTAGGCCGACATCACAGGTTTTGCTTTTGACCTTTAAGAGACCTTTAGGGTGCTGCTTGCACAGGGGTCTTCAGAGGCAGCGGAAGCACCTAGTTAGACACAATTTGTAGATAACTGATATTTAAGTATAGCGATGCCTGCGGATGACGAACACTGTGGTCTACTAACAATTTGGTTTGCAAACAAAAATTTTGTGAAAAAATGCATTGGTTCGCGTACAAAATTTGGTGGACAAACAGATTCCTCTAACAGAAGAGTAACACACACAGACACAGACAGACACACACATACACACACGCACAGACACACACACACAAACACACAAAGACACAAATACAGTTCATATATCCCTATCATTAGTAGGACTCTCCATTCATTTCTATGAGCATAGAGAGGAATGTGTATGGGTTATAAATATCCAGCATCCTGCACCACAACTATACTGTAGCATTTCTTTACATTCCTCCTTATGCACTCCTTGGACCATCAAGAACTTCCTCCTGGGATCAATAAAGTTAATCTTATCTAGCCTTTTATTGTAGGTGTGCCTATAAATCCTCTGCGGCTCTTACTCTCCGGCACGTACATCGCACCCTTCCTGGCAGTAGCAGCATTTCCACATTTATAAAATGACTCAAGTGAACAGACTATTCAAAAGCACCAGCTTCCTATTGGCTGCCTGCTCCAATATTTCAGACAAAAGGGGCCTTACATGCACCACTGGATTTTCTGATAGCATGATGTAGTATAAAATGTGTATTTTTTTTTGTGTTATTTTTAAATATAAATAATTTTGTCTTTGTTAGCTTGTCTGTTGTCTTTTGTTGTTTGAAAATAAATAATTGTTTTTATTTCTTGGTAAATGCATATTAGAGGGTGAAGAAAGTTCAAATGTCACACTACACCTCCTGACCAATAGCAGAGAGGGTGAAGAAAGTTCAAATGTGACACTGCACCTCCTGACCAATAGCAGAGAGGGTGAAGAAAGCTCAAATATGACACATTGATTCAAAACAAAAACTCGAATTAATCGATTAATTAAGTTTATCTGCAGAGTTACTGTCACCTCAAAAAAGCCATAAAATCCATAATACAGTCATGTTTGTCAATTATTTTAGCATTCGTTTACTTAGTATTGGTTTCAATAATCCCATACTGGTAAGAAAATGAAAGCCTCCCTTTAACATAAATACAGAAATAACTTATCACTTTAATCACTATAGCAGTTGGGTATGGGTGGAAGAAGAGAAGGCCTTTGGGCAAGTGCTAGGCTCAAATAAAAAAAAAAAAATCTGTCAATACTGCTGCAACCTACTAAAAAAAAGTAAAATTACTTAAAAGTAAATAAAAGTAACTATTCTCTCAACATAGCTATGCACACATGCGTATTGGGGCAGCTGCATCCGACCCTTTCCGAATGTTGCTCGGGGGATACGCACAAATGCACATAGGTTCTGCATTTCCTGCATTCGTTCAATACATATGTGTATCATATGTAAGCCCTCAAAAGCTTGGGAGTGGGACAGCCCTAAGCCCTCAAAAACTTAGGAGTGGGACAACCCTAAGCCCTCAAAAACTTAGGAGTGGGACAACCCTAAGCCCTCAAAAGCTTGGGAGTGGGACAGCCCTAAGCCCTCAAAAGCTTGGGAGTGGGACAGCCCTAAGCCCTCAAAGGCTTGAGTGTGGGACAGCCGTAGGCCCTCAAAACCTCCACACATGGACAAATCTACACACGTATTTGCAGATCTGCCGCAGCGGAAGTGTAGCAAAAATCACATGTAAACCGACAGCCAACTGAGGGGTCTGCCTGAGTTATAACTAATATTTTGTCGGTATATACAACTCTTGGAGCAAAATGCTTAGACTTTTTAGCCATTATCTGTCATTACACATACAATAATAATCTGATTACACACACGGATTCTGAATACACATTTACAGATTCCTGTACATATTTGCAAATGTCAGTATGCATTTACAGATTCTTTCACACATTTACAAATCTGATTACGCACATGGATTGAGATACAGTCACACAACTCTCTATACACATTTGCAAGTAATTTTGTTACAATAATAGCCCCATAGCCATTAAACCGCTGCATGATTTCACTGATGCATTGTCTGGTGAAACCTATGTCAGTATCTAATTCCTTAAACCAGTGTTCCACCTGTTCAACAACAGTCTACTGAAGTCTGAGCAGGGAGAGACTGAGCTCACAAAAAAATTAAAAGTGACATACTGGAGTATCAGAACAAGAAATACATGATCTGGCTAAAGATGAACTGTTAGAGATGACGTGACTTGTAGACCCCTAATTCCAGACCAATGACAAGGCTACAGGAGAGGAAAGAGCTCTATTACAGAGCTACTGTCTTTATTGCCTGACAAGCACACCCCCCCCCCCCCCCCCCCCCCCCCCCCCGAATCATGCAGAGCTGTGAGAACATAAGAACATAAGAACATAAGAACTATACAAACGAGAGGAGGCCATTCGGCCTATCGAGCTCGCTTGAGGAGAACTTAACTAATAGCTCAGAGTTGTTAAAATCTTATCTAGCTCTGATTTAAAGGAACCCAAGGATTCAGCTTGCACTACGTTATCAGGAAGACTATTCCATACTCTGACTACATGCTGTGTAAAGAAGTGCTTCCTTAAATCCAGTTTGAAATGTTCTCCCGCTAATTTCCACCTATGGCCACGAGTTCTTGTATTTGAACTAATGCTGAAGTAACTATTCGGTTGAACAGCATCCAAACCTGTTAGATTCTTATAGACCTGGATCATGTCCCCCCTCAGTGTACATCAAGAGGATCCTGAAGTTCAGTGTGGAAGTCTGATAAAGGTGCTCCAAGAAGATGCCTCGAGAACTGTGGAGCCAGAGATGTCCAACATCCTAGCCGGAGGGTCACCTTTAAATAACTGCTCAAAGTAGCCGGCCCAGCGGATCACAACTGCAGTGTCATCTGTAAGAACTGTTCCATCACCTGCCCTGACTGTTACCCTCCGAGTAACAGATTCAGATGTGCATAATGTTTCGATTCCTCTGTAAGCAGGATGTGGGTCCTGGACCACAGATGGTGACACAGATTCTTCTAACAAACATGTCTTTATCAGCCCTCAGAGCCGTCCTCCTCAGTTTCCAGTACAGCCTGGAGCTGCCACCACGTATTGCACTGCAACTCTTCTCGATAATAACTAAGGTGCCCTGTGAGATGAAGTACCTCCTTCTAGAAACACCAGTAATACCAACACAACCCTTGGCAACCTTCAGGGTCTTATCACAGAAGTTCTCCCACATCACATTAGAGTCAGCAGTCGCACCCAAGTCTGCAAGTTCCTCACACAAACTGCGTGCAAACTCATCAGAAGCAGCTTGATCTTAGAGTCTGACTAAGTCCAGCCTCATTCTCCTAGTAGGTAGTAGCCTGCTGGATCTAAGCTGAATCTTCAGAGTAGCAACAACAAGTCTGTGGTCAGTTTAATGATTGAAGAATATTTAACATTATGTTATTGTTGCACTGCTACACATTGTTGGGGAAAAAGAGCAAACTAAAGGCCCTTCTAATGCCTTTGTTAGTTATAATTTATGTTGTCATTGCCTGCTCATGGTGCTTTATTTTATGTAAATGTATTTCAGGTAATTTAAGTTATTTTTAGCACTTATATTTTATTTTCTATTTATTATATGATATTTATATTGTTTTTTATTTTAATTTTACAACACCCCTTGTTGTTGCGATTGTTGTTTCCATATAGTTTCAAAATAAAGAAACTATTTTTGAGTTCTGTTTTGTCTTGAGTTCATGAAAAAAAAATGATTCAAATCAAAAATCATCCATAACACTGAAAAAAATTGAGATGTTATTTTTTGCCTGTATTGCCCACCCCTAGCTCAAATGTGACATTATACCTCCTGACCAATGGCAGGGAGGGTGAAGACACTGAAATGCATAGTTTCTTTTAATAAAATGAAGATAATTTTTTGTGGCTCAGTGGGCACGACTGTTGCCTCGCATCTCCAGGGTTGGGAATATGAAGCCTGCCCCCGCATGGTGTCTGTACGATTGTTATTGTCTCACCATGCTGTGCAGGTTGCCTCCTGCATCTCTAAACTGCTTAACTGGTTGAGGGCACCCCAGCTGAGTCATAGCAGTCTTTAACCCAGACTGTCTCTCTGTATGATTGACATGTAATCTGTGCAATGAGTGAATGAGTGAGGATCTTGAGTGGCGATTGGTGACATGGGAACAAAAATAATTTTTCATTTTTTTTTTTACATGCCAGTTAAATGCAGACATACTTCGTAATTCTAGGGAAAATGAAAAGCTATTTGGTATCGATGCTTATTACAGTAAGAACAAATGAAGCCACAGAATTTAGCTGGAACTGCCTTACACTACCTGTGCCCTGATGGGCCGCAGTGTCCCCTGACCTACTCAGAGACTGGCCCTGCTCCTCCTCTCCTTTTACTGAATGAAACTTGCCCTAATATAAGTGTGATGGCTGCATACAATGCAGTTCTCAAGAACCGTGGTGGTGCACCTTCACGGAGAGTACCTCCTCCTCCTGGGTGTTGAAGCGGATGCCCAGTGTCGCCTCCTGGTGGCGCCGGCTGCGCTGTCTCCGCCAGTACCAGCAGCACAGAATTTGTCTGAAGGTTTGCCGCATGTCTTGGTCCCGGTATGAGTAGATGATGGGGTTCATCAGCGAATTGCATTCGGCCAGAACCAGGCAATACTTCTCATATCTCAGTACCTGACAAGCCTCACAGTGGAGCCCATCCAGTAGCAGGAGTACCAGGCCAGGGGTCCAGCAGATCACAAATGCACCTAATGGGGAGGGGGGGGGGGGGGGGGGGGGTTGCGGACAAGGAGAACAACATTTGTGAATGTCTACTTTATGTGAAAATAATTGTACTGAACATACAGTGTTGGATGACTGAGAATATTCAAGTTGGCCATGGGTGGGTTAACACAATATATAGTATGCATGCTTGAGAGGACAGTGTACATTATGGTCATGCGGGCCATGATCAGGGAATAATCAGGTTTGTATGGGGAGAATCGGCCAGTCCGTCCAAACCCTGTCATGATGAACCGTGTGAGAGTCGGCCAGTCCATCCGAACCCTGTCATGATGAACCGTGTGAGAGTCGGCCAGTCCGTCCGAACCCTGTCATGATGAACCGTGTGAGAGTCGGCCAGTCCGTCCGAACCCTGTCATGATGAACCGTGTGAGAGTCGGCCAGTCCGTCCAAACCCTGTCATGATTGGTTGACCAGAAACACCACCACTAACTTGTATGTTATGCAGAAGGGGTATAAAAAAGGGATATAATTAGCAGAGTAAAAACAGAGCGGATAGATTTATTTTTATACTTCAGTTACAATAAATGAATATATTTTTTGTTTGCATCTCAACTTCTGCATCAGAAAATTCAACCAACACCCAATGTACCTCTACCTAATATCACGGGTTCCAGTGGTGAACCTTGCATGCACTTATTAGTGGAATATGTCACACTACTTATTTATGAGACCAAAACATTGATCTGCCGGCCAGATTTAATAATGAAATATAAACATGTCATGGGTCGTATGAATAACTATAAATAAAAGTCTGGGTCCTATTTTGATCACAATCCCACCCCCCATAAGTAACAAATAGTTTTACAAAACTTAATTCTCCATTGTTTTGGGGTGGCAGTGTAGTTTCAAATTATGTGTAAAGTTTAACCTATGAGCTTTATGCATATCCCATGCTGATTTAACATAAAGGTCCAAATTCCATTGTGTAGTATGAAAGTGACACAGGATTTCAGCCAAGGGGGGGACATACTAGCTATTAGGGTATAGGGTGTTCTAACTTTTTCCTCAGTAGGAATTGGCATTACTTCATTTCTTCTGTTAAAAAAGTGAATGTGTTTCTTGTTTTTGTGTACGTGATACAATTACATCACTTTTATCTACAGATATGATTTGAAAGAAGACTTAATATTGATATGTTAATATTTCTTAATAAACAACTAGATATTTAAATTAATATTTTTTTCACATGACTATTCTCACATCCTCGTGTTTTATAGTCTACATTAGGATGCTTCAGCTATGTTTCGAATGTAATTTTTTTCCAGTTTCTTTTCAATCTAGCATGCCAGTGTTTGTACTAATTCTGTGCATTGTAAAATGGAGAATCAACTTTTTAAATCACGATCAATGACACACTTTGGGGATTAATCATCTGCATATTCCATATGTCGTCTGCAGAAATTTATTTATTCCAAACAGAACCCTCAAAACGGACAAAATATGTACATCAGCTTCACCATAAGATGTCGCTAACTGAATGTTTTGTGAATTATAGGATTCTGAGAAACATCACATCCAAAGCTCTTGCATTCTCTACAGTCAGGAAGGAATACTATAAGTCTCTAACAAAAAACTCCACTCATACTATTCTCCCACTTGGAGACTAAAATACACAAAGTGGCAGATAATAAGATAACAGAGCGGAGTCGCAGAGTGCTGAGGCACATAATGCGTGAGAGTCGCCGACACATTCAATATACTCTTTTGGCAAGGAACTCAGCTCCAGGAGCTTCAAGGAATGGACTTCCATGACCGAGCAGCTGCAAGCAAGCTTCACATCACCAAGCACAATGCCAAGCATCACATGGTTTGGGCTCTGGACTCTGGAACAGTGGAAACTTATCTGTGAAGCGTCGAAACACGCTTCTCTGTCTGGTTGTCTGATGGACGAATCTGGGTTTGGTGGATTCCAGGAGGATGTTACCTGCCTGACTGCATTGTGCAAACTGTAAAATTTGGTAGAGGAGGGACATTACTATGGGGTTGTTTTTCAGGGGTTGGGTTAATGCTGCATTTCATTTACCTCAGAGATCGGAATGAGGTCACACGCAAGTTAATCGTGTTCCAGTATAGCAAGTCAGAAAGCCATTTAGCAATACCAGGGACCTGTCTTAAAAAGCAAGATTTCTTCCTTAGTTAGATTTGTCAGATTTAGTTTACACCAGTTTAAATTATCTTTATCTTTTTTCAATGACATTTAGCCCAGACTACCTTAAATCTGACAAATTAACTGGCTAAACAAGAAATCCTGCTTTCTGAAACAGGCCCAAGATCAGTTCATTGTTAACCAGTGTTAGCAATATCAGTTGATAACAACACATTATGTGGTACGTAAAAACACCACAGCAATAGGTCCACAGATTTAATGAGCCACAAATAAAATGTAAGTGCTAATAAACAGTGTAAAAATACATCTTTAACTTCTGTTGATAAAGGGCACAGCCATCTTTAATTCTGATGCTGAGGTTTCATAGATTCACAAGTTGGAATTTCAACTTCAGGGGACATTCTACCTATACTTAATATAGGAACTCGGAATATCCAAGTTTCAAGTTAAAATGGAATGCAGCCCCGTAGTTCCAGTGAAGGGAACTGTTTCAGCATACTGAGACATTTTGGACAGTTCAATGCTTCCAACTTCATGGGGACAATTTGGGGAAGGCCATTTTCTGTTCCAGCATGACTATAATAATAAATAATAATAATAATAATAATAATAATAATAATAATAATAATAATAATAGACACTTTTTATTAATCCCCGTGGGGAAATTCTTTTTACACCTCCCTCAACTTGCTCTTTGTAGAGCAAGCTGTCTGCGAAGGACAGCCACCTGTAGCGGCGCCCAGGGAATGAAAGACTCTGTCCCAGTGGACAAACCAAGGTCCATAAAGACACAGTTGGGTGAATTTGGTGTGGAAGAGCTTGACTGGCCTGCACCGAGCCCTGACCTCAACCCCATGAAACATCTTTGGGATGAACTAGAACAGGGATTGCGAGCCAGGCCTTCACGTTCTGTGCTTGACCTCACAAGCACTCTTCTGGATGAATGGGCAAAAATTCCGACAGACACACTCCAAAATCTGGTGGAAAGCCTCTTACAGGTGCAAAAGGGGGAACAAGCCCATATTGATGCCTATGGATTCAGAATGGATGTCATAAAAATGTCTGTAGGTGTAATGGCCAGGTGTCCCAATTCTTTTGTCCATATAGAGTACGTTAGTTTACAGTTTTGATCTCTTTATAAGAATTCTAAAATGTGGAGAACAGTACAAATAGACCTTTCTTTGGGTAGGTGTATTTTTACTGGTACTGTATATGCAAAAAGTGAAGCTATTTCTGCACTTGTGACAAAAACAAGCTACAAATACGGTTTCAGTTCCAAAACAATTTGCATCAGAATATGGCACTGAACCTGGAGGTGAAAAAGCCTTGTTTACCTTTGCATGGGGCGGCAAGTGTCAAGTGCTCATTTTCATGTACATTTCCAATATCTTACAAACCAAGAGTGTACTGAGAGGGTCCTACAGACATGTGGTATTGAACATTCAGAGAAGAGAAGAGAATATTACCATAAGGGCTGGTACGATTATTCGACGTAATCGATGATGTCGATTATAAAAATGCATTGACGTGGAATTTTAGTGTTGACGTGTTATGTAAAACTACGTAAATGTTTTGTAAACTGCAATGCACTACGAGATAAGGTAAACGCATTGTAAGGGAAAGTACTTTATCCCCTCGGGAGATATAGTTTTGTCTAATATCGCCAGTGCCAGCAGTGTCACACTATTTTGTAAGGCATGCACTGGCCAATCATGTAGCACTTCTCTCATAAATAAATTAATGAGACATCTCCTACCACCCTGCAAAAAGGAAATTTGCCGCCCGCCCCCGGCTGTGTCTACCAGCAGAACTCCGGAGCCTCTGGAGAAACACGCGGCAAAAAAAGCTTGCATGCGGTCTGAACAGAGTGTCTCTTTTCGGCAGCTGGGAACATTTTCATAAAAAAAGAGCAAGTCTAACTGCAGACCATGTAGACATGCTTACATTCCTCCACTGAAATGCTTAACTGTCTTTTCATGTTATTTGTTATTGGCACTTGAATTTCTTATTTTTTAGTTCATGCACTTATATCTCTTAAGATTTGCCTTTTTTGTTAATAATGCTCTAATGTTAAAGAAATATTTTAATAAACTGAAATGTTAATGAGAATTTCAGATTTGTGTGTGTGGGAGGGGGTGAATTGCTGTATTAAAATGACTAACTTGAAAATAATTGCTTATCAGATCAATCGAAAAATTTGTTGTGAGATTATTTTTTCGATTATTCGACTAATCACTAGATTAATCGTTTAAAGAATAATCGTTTGGGACGATTAATATAACGGCAGTTGTACCAATGAGGATGTAACACTGATAAAAAGCAGCAAGGAGGAAAATTAAATCTGAGGAAACCTTTTACGCAACAAGCAGACACTACACTGCATTAGATTTCAGAATGTAATCAGTGACAGAAGGCAGAACCCTGTACCTCCCTCATACCTTCACAAACTTCCTAACACACTAAACAGTGCTGCCTGTCCTTCTTCTGGTCCCCAAGGGTTATATGTTATTGTCTAAACTCTTTACAAATCAACTACCTATTTGCAAAGCAAACCATTCTAAAAATGCTATTCATTTAAAATGCCATTGTTTTTTTTTTGGGGGGGGTGTTATGTGCCTGTAATCGGAAGACCAGAAGGACACCAGTTCAAATTCCGTCCTCAGCAGGATCCTAAAGGTCCTTGAGCTGGGCCCTTAAGGCCCTCCGCCCCCCCAAAATGCCCCAGGACCATCAGGTAAATGTGTGACTCTGCACCCTGACCCCAGTCCACTCTCTAAACTCAATGTGTGTGTCTATCACAAAGGAAAGCATGATGGGATATGCAGAAAGAAGCATTCCAATTTACCTGTACTTGTCAGATGGCAAATAAAGCATTACATCTCATTAGCCTAGACTGAATATTTCTGCCACACCCATACATGAAAAAAAATGTGACAATAATACAAGCCACTTATCTGCATATCAGTGTCTGGCAAGCTGAGTTCATTCACACCTCAGTCCTGCATGAGTCATAATTTGTCATATGGGTAATCTGCTTCTCGGACTGTGTGCTGTGTCTTAGTGTGCATGTAAGAGAAACTGTGCTCCTCACCCAGGATCATGGAGACAGTCTTCATAAGGTTAACCACTGTTTCCTGGTGCTTGACCTGCATCGTGTGCTGTGACATGCACTGGCTTTTGTGGCGCACGTACACAAAGATGCGCGTGTAGACGGCCAACATGATGAAGAATGTGAGCAGGTTGAGCACAGCCCAGAAGACCAGGTAGCTGCGTCTATACAGCGGCGCCATCTTGGAACAGTCAGACAGGTGGCATAAGCAGTGCCAACCCATGCTGGGCACCAGCCCTAAAAGCCCCGCCACCAGCCAGATTCCCAGTATGAGGGATAGCACCCGCCTCTTGCTCATGTTGCTGTGAAGCTGCATGGTGAACACTGACTGATGGCGCTCCACCGCTACAGCCAACAGGTTCACCACGGATGCGGTCAAGCTGGTGTCAATCAGACCCTGCCGCAAGAACCAGCTGTATACCGTGAGCCGCCTGGTCCAGGGACCCGTGTGGAACATCAGGTGCAGGTAAGCCAAGCCAGCGAAAAGGTCTGCTGCAGCCAGGTTGCCCAGGAGGTAGTAGATTGGATAGTGGAACCGATGGTTAATTATGATGGCAGTCATAACCAGGATGTTGGCCAAGATGACGATAACAGAAACGGTGAGGCCCAGCCCCACCACGACCTTGTCACGTGTGCCCCAATTTGAGCTGATGTTCTTCCCAGTCTGGCTGTAAAAGAACTCCACTGTTTGGTTGTAGTAGCAGTTTGACTTTCCATGAATGTCCATCCTGACTCTCTGCAAAGTAGGGGGGAGTAAAATGTGGAAAGCTTATTAAGGCTTGAGTACTGTATTGAGCTCCAGGGAGAGAAACAGCAAGGGCTCCTTTGAAGACGGAGTCAAAAAAAGTTGCATTTGTTCAGATGTGTCTTTATCAGACCACGTCTTCTGGATTGAGACCTGTGGAGAAAGGTGACCTTAGTGAAGATCATCTGGTATTTAAAACATTCTTTTATTTAAGCCAACATTGGTCATCATTAGCAAGAAACCCTACTTTCCTTGATGATCTCCTTGAAAAGTAAGAAATTTAATTCCATCATGAAGAACTTACACAAGTATAACGAGAAGCATGCAGTGGATGTGAATGTCACTGTCCATGCAGTGATCTTAAAGGTCTGCTGTTACAGCATGACCATAAAATATACTCCTGGTGCCATCAAGTCAGGCACCTAATCAGCATTCAGGGCTCTCTGACAGATCAAAGCTTCCCTGATACACACAGCCTCCTACACTGCATGCCAGCTGACTCCAGGTGTGAGTGGCTTATGGTCACATCCCTGCAAGCAGGGCTTTCTTTGGACACACCTAGTGATGTCAGTTGCTTATTTGTGGTTATATGCCTTCAGGCTACCTTTTTTGTGTAAATAATACATACCATATGGATCATGAATCAGAAATGCAAGGTTATAATTGGAATCAGACACTATACAAGCTCAGAAAAATTGTGTCCCGACCCAAAAATCTTGCATCTAGTCCTGCTTCATGTAATGTTTATCTACTTCGTCATTGGTGAACAGCAATCCAAAGCATACTGAACGCTAACAGCCCCCAGACCGCCCGTCCGCCCAGTCCGGCTCAGTCTGCATACTGACGCTGACAGCCCCCAGACCGCCCGCCCGCCCAGTCCGGCTCAATCTGCATACTGACGCTGACAGCCCCCAGACCGCCCGCCCAGCCCGGCTCAGTCTGCATACTGACACTGACAGCCCCCAGACCGCCCGCCCGCCCAGCCCGGCTCAGTCTTCATACTGACGCTGACAGCCCCCAGACCGCCCGCCCAGCTCAGCTCAAGTTTGCACACTGATGCTGACAGCCCCCAGA